GTCTTTCATCGGGGCAACAATGGACGGCCGCACAATAGGCCTCAGGTTCGGCCGCGCACGACGCGGCCGCCCGGTTTCTCATGGCGCAAAAAGGGGAGGGGTGGGGGGGGGCGAAAAACCAAACAAAAGGGCAAAAAAAAAAAAAAAAAAGTCTCCATTTGAATCGCATGCCGATTTGACTTTGACTCCAGTTGATGAAAGCTCGGAAACTACCGTACCAGTTTTTGGGTCTTTTAGCGCATTGACGGTCACAAATGGCCGCAGGGCGCACTGTGCTTAAAAGTGAAGGCTCTGTGTGAGGACTTTGTATATGTCATTGTTGACGTTTAGCATGTGCGCTAGCCACGGCGGTGAAAGGATGACGAAAAATAAAGACGTGGGGGAGGTGGACCGACGAACGAAAGACTGGCCCCGATCCTTCCACTTATCAAGCTTTTTTTTTTTTTCTCTTCCACCCTCCTTTTTTCTTTCTCCCGCTCCTGCTCCTTGGCAGAATGTATCCGCCCTTCCCATTGTCACCCACTGGAGTGAACGGAGGCGTGAGGGGAGCCGCGGCCAGTGTGTGCTCGTCTGGCACAATGGCCTCGCCTAAGTGCTGTCCTATAAAATGCCTCAGTGCGCTCTAAAAGCAAGGCCCTTGGATCCCTCACTGCCTTGGAAGTAGATGAAGTGCTGCGTGTGCGTGTGTTTGCGTGTGTGTGTGTGTGTCTGTGTGTGTGTGTGTGTGTGTGTGTGTGTGTGTTGTGCGACATCTGTCATTGAGTTGGCATTCGCAGGATGGAGACTGGTGTCTTAGAGCACTGCGGCAGAGTTTCTGGGGGCAGCAATTGCAGGCAATTGTTTATGTGACTTTTATTGTGGAAGAAGTCCGAATGTCAGCATCTATACCAACTAGCGATAAGGAATAATAAGACATCCATTTCCTGGAGTTGCTTAAGCGTGTCTTAAAGCAATGGTCCCCGACGACCTTGGTACTGGGCCACACAGATGCAGTGGTACAGTACCTCTACTTACGAACGTCTCTTCATACGGAATTTTCAATTTACGAAACGCCTCAACAGGAAAATATTGCCTCTTGTTACGAAAGAAATTTCAAGATACGAAAGGTAAAAATACTGTATGGGCACCCAGAAAAAGTGTTCACCAGTCGGGCGATCACTCACTATGCTGATGTTTGCCTTGGACACTTTCGAAGGATTGTTAAAAGCCGACAAAAGTAAACGTCCTTGGATCAGTTCTTTACAAAATGCCAGGCAAAAAACACTTCTGAGAGAGAACATGAAATCATTTTTATTCTTTATTCTTTGTTTTTTACATTGTGCACAACTCTCGTTTATTGTGCAATAATCTAATTGTAACGTGTATTTGTTCCATATTTTGATGCATTTTTATGCTTTAGAAAACATTTGTGTCTGAATTTTAAGGGGCCTTGGAACGGATTAGGGCATTAACATGGAAAACACGTCTACACCTTACAAAGTTTTCTCGTTACGAAATCTCTTCCAGAACCAATTAATTTCGCAAGTAGAGGTACCACTGTATAGCCTTTTAAAAAAAAGGGAACCTATTTACTGTAAAACTAAGCACGCGGCGAGTCATTTATGAGATGCTTTGGACACGAACACACACGACAACCTGAAACGTTACACATCAACGCGGGTGAATGTTGGGATTGTCGGGAGAGGCGCACACATTTTTGCGGGTGTCCACACTCTGCCCCCATTAAGCACAGAAAGTCCATTCATCTCCCGTTAAAGTAGAGCAACGCCGGCCACAAACTTACTTCGCGTGTGACGTCTTTTGTGCATGCGGGCGGGTGTGAAGTGTAGCTCAAGGCCAGCCTCGGCAAAATCCGGCCTCCTTTTTGAGTTTCGAGATCTTTATTGTTTTTGTGTCTTTGGCTCGCATCTTACCCGCGCCCCTCCCCGTTATTGCTCCTAGAAAAAGGGTCGCGTGCCATTGATCCAGCTGGAAGCGATATGCTAGCGTGAGTGTGTGCGCGCGAATGTGTGTTGCATGTGTGTGTGTGTGTGTGTGTGTGTGTGTGTGTGTGTGTGTGTGTGTGTGTGCATCCTATTCTTCCGTTAGATGAAATATGAGGCAGATCAGCCCCTGTCAGATTCAGGGTGGAGAAGGTCAGAAATGGGGTCATTGCTGCATCAGGGGAGCCTCTCACTGAAATGAGGATTTAGCCCTTCTGCTTAAGAGTTGCGCGCTCGCGCTCGCACACACACACACACACACACACACACACACACACACACACACACACACACACACACACACACACACACAAAAAACACCTAC